TTTTGAATGAAACATGTAGTTGAGATGTTATCGGTTTATTATAATGAATATAGCCTATTATATCTGTATACCTCTTGCTGCAAAATTAGGAGATGGTAAACATTTCTCTGACACTAGTTGTGAGAAATTGAATTTTGAATAACAGCGTTATCGGAATTTCAACCTACCTTAGATGATCTTGCCTAGATGGTAACATCCTATATGCATTTCACACTGTGCTGTTTATAACTAAGCCTTATCTTGCTTTGTTAAGCTCCGCATGTTTTTGATGTAACTAATCATGAAACGTTTAAAAAATGTGATTAGAAAGAGAAGTGACAACGACTTCACACAAAAGATATGATCTTCAAACTTTAAAACCGATTAGTAATCATCATTCCTTAATGAAGTTATGAAAGCGACTGATCCCTCGTGTCGAAGCGAAGCTATAAACAACAGGCTCGCTAAATCAGCTATTCACCCATCTCGAAATATTTCCCGGCCAAAATTCTTATAGCAATTATTTTAGACTCTATACTTCAGATGAACGAAGAACAAGCATTCTGTACATTGGTGAAAATAATGTACGACTACCAGTTGCGAGACCTATTTAAATTGGGCTTTGACTCACTCCACTTGCGATTTTATCAGCTAACCCGACTGCTAAAGGTGTGGTCTTTCTTTTCTATTGATTCACTTTCCTATCAGCTATCTAATTTTAGGAGTATGAGAGCAATTTAGCTGCACATCTAGAACACATTGGCGTTGAAACGCATATGTATGCATCGCAATGGTTTCTTACCCTTTTTACAGCGAAATTTCCCCTTCAGATGGTTTTCTTTATTGTTGATCTCTTCTTGAGCGAGGTTTGTGCTTTTGAGACTTATGAGACTTTCATAGATTTGTTGACTGCAATTTTTGAGGGAATGAATACTATATTCCATATTTCTTTGGCTTTATTGCACGATGCTGCTGCAGACTTGATTCAGTTGGATTTTGAGGGTGCACTTAAGTGAGTTCAAAGAGTTGTTGAACATTTGGTAAATCGTCATTTTTCATGTGATCATATATAGATATTTTCGCGTAACGCTGCCTCGCAAGTACCGCACGGAAGCGAATGCAAAGGCTTTGATTCATAGGGCTGTAGAATTCAAAGTGAGTTAAGGATCAAACGATTTTTTTATTTGTAATCATTTAGCACTCCCTTTCTTTCTTTCTTTTTGCGAATATCTGCTTGCTTTTGAGTTCAATAGAACTCGTGCGTTTTGCCCTTGAAAAACTTTGAGCCCAATTTGGGTATGACTCACATTTCGCTCATTTCTTAATGTTACGTTTGACATTCATTTCCTGCAAGCATTCCTATCCGCTCATGCAGTGGAGTTCTTTGCTCTTCATGGAATACTAATACGACTCACTAAAACTGCAGGGTTTTTTTGAAGTATTCTTTTGCACTCAGACTTATTTCTGTAGGAAATATGTTTGAACTGTTATATCAAAATGCCCCTTGTTATACTAAAGAAAAAATAGTTTAGTATTTTCTGTGTTCCTTATCTAGTGCAAAGAATTATTTGGTGATTTTGACATGACAGGTGTTTCGACATGGAGTAGTTTTCCTTATTTGGTTCTTTCTTTGTTCTCCTGTTCATAGTAGAACATCCTTTACTACTAAGCAAAATTTTCCTCACGCTGGTGCTCTTTACTTTCTTGCAGCGCAAGGAAAGAGCCTGGAAGCTAAATCAGTATGAAAGTTCAGATCATTCAATTGACAAACATCTTTTTTTTTCAAATTTTCTATGGCGCGCTAGAAATTGCAACAAAGTCACTGTGGGAACGCGCAAGCATGTTCAGTGCGAGTTTTTGAATAGAAAAAGTTCCGCGATTTGGAGCGATTTTGATTGTTAGTGAGGCTTTGTGAATCGCTGGTTCAATTTCTCATTCTTTAGCTAAAACACAAGCGTTTGTTGAAGTACGAAAAGGAATATTTGGAAATGAAGGAAAGAGAACGTGAAAATGAAGATCCGCTCGTTAAACTACAGGTATTCTGCATTGTTTCTTTTTGTTTTCTGTCATTTTTTGACATTCTTTTCTATGGAAATTGTGTTGACTACTGGTTTAGCCTTCAGCGAAAAACCGGTTCTTTATTTCATAGAAAGAGAATGCTCGATATTGTGAGACGATTCTTCGACTCGAACGCGAAAATGACGATTTGGCGCATGAGCTTGTTACTAGTAAGATTGAATTACGACGGAAGTTGGACGCTGTTGAGGTTTTACTTTACTATACTTTTGCTCTTTCTTCAACGCTGCATTTGTAGTTGTGTTTTGTTTTTAATGAATATTCTGATGTCCGCATCTTTTAAGGATCAGCTCGAAACATCAGCGAATACTATCGAGCGAGTAACACGGCAAAATGAGGATCTTGCAGAAGAAAATCGTAACTTACAACGAGAATACAACCAGGTGATGCATTTAATCACGAATTTTTTTTCATATTATTTGCGTTTTCATTTCATCTTTACCTTTAAAAATTACCAGCGATTGTACACGTCCCTTTGCTGAAGTTTGAACACCGCTTACATCTGCCACATTCTCCAGTTTTGTTCTACCAAATCAAAGCTGAAATGTCAGTTTGATACTTTAGATAAAAGAAATGTATCGCAAAGAAGTTTCGCGGTTAGAGGAAGATGCTAATCGAGCCAGCAAACTTCTAGCTGAATATAAGCAATTGTTTTCTCAAATGAGCCGAAGGTTAGATTTGTCACTTATTATGTTGTTAACATTCATCTTGATACTCCAGATGTGACGCCGAACGTGAGCAATTCCAAACTCAAAAACGTGCCATAATTGTAAGTATTTTATGTCTATAGCTTTTACTTCTACTTGTAAAT